ACACATAGCGCAAAGAGTTGACACACCTGCACGCCAATGTGTTCACGATTTTTCCGAATGCTGGAAAAACGAAATTAAACCTAAACGAAAAAAGCTGCTGATGACACGGCATCGAACATGTCGGAGGTCACAGATGTAATCGGACTGTGGGCGGAAGAAGGGAAAGAAAGGAAACGACCGGTGCTCTAATTAATGGGCCGAGCGAAACGGCAGAAGAAGCGTTGTCGGGTTCTATTTGCGGGATAGGCTGATAGCAACGGCGAGTAATCAGCGTGTGTTCGTGATTACTGGCCGGTCTTTTCTAAATCGTGTTAGCATCGGCCGGCGCAGAGGCTCGCCGCCGAACAACGATACACTTCTTTGGGCCAATATGATGAGGCTTGCCTTATAAGGCGTACAGCCGGTGTTTAAAGTCACCGGTGGCGCAGCTTTCACCAATTTAACATCAGATTACGACCCGCCCGGCTTCTAATCGCCGTTAGGCCTCTACACGCCGGGAATTGCGCGCCGGTAATCGATCCGTCGACTCCGCGCGCGGACCGACGTCGTTACCCGCTCCGAGAAAGAGAGTACGTCGCCGTTTAAGCCCAACGACAACGTCGCTTTAATTGCTAAGGCCCTCTTTAACTCCGCAAATCTCATTACACCGCGAGTGGATTTCCACGTCGCGACCCCGTCCCGTCGATCGATTCGACGCGCCGACGATCCAGCTCGCGGTCACGCGATCGTTCTTCCAACGATTCTTGCAACAGACGTACTCTTCCTGGCAAAAACTCTGTTAACCCGACATCGCGAGCGTGATCCTCCAAGAAACTATTTCCTAGCTACGAAATATCCGATTTTTAAGCGGACATCAGATCTGGGTAAAATTTTTTGATAAAGTTTTTTGCGAATAATTATTGAAATACTCTTGTTTCTATGAGATAGTATTTCAGGATTTATTTGACGTCGTAAAGATAAGTACATGTATTGAAAATTCATTGTTTACGTTGTGGTGAAGAAAATTATTAATTGAGAGAAGTAGCATTTTCTTAAGATATACTCTGGAAGTATTTATATATTCGAAATAGTATTTCATGCGTCCTTTCTATTAATCATTTGGAATTCTATTTCTTACGATTAATATTTATGAAAGAAGATAAGTCTGTAGAAAAATAAAGATGATATTTATTTCAATTAAGTATTTCAGGCTGATATTGAAAAATATATATTTCAAATAAGTATTTCAACTAGTATTCTCATTTTTAATACGGATTAAATTTATAATTCAAATGAAGTATTTGTTGAGAGGAGAACAGTATTTGCAAATATTTCTATTTCTCAGTTTAAATATTTTTACTCGGGTCTCACTTTTTATATTTAACATAAATTTTCTTAACCCCTTAGCAAACAATTTTTAAACTTTTCTTTACTTGCCGCACAGAATCAGTAGAATTCACGTTTCTGAAGAAATTGCGCTTTATTGATGTAACTATCCTTATCATTAAAATATGTATGAAATTCTTGCAAATTTTGAGAAACGTGTCCGAATTACTAACAGATGTAAACGATATAAAAACGAAGTAAATAGTGTAATAACTGAATGAGCAATGCAGCCAAAAGTTTTGTATGATAAACATGTCAACGAAAAGCGAATACGAACGCTGGTACGGTGACTTCAACGCGTAACAGTATGATCGTCGCTCGAGTGATTTCAACGCGTGGTGAAGACGCAGTCATCGTGCTCGAAGCGTTAAGTACTGCTTTTTTAATGATGTAAAACAGGTCCTGCCTTCAGTGTTAACGATCTCATTTACGTTTAATTATTCCGGCATTTTTCTCAGACATTTGTTCAAAGTCTGATCTGTTATAACCCCATAAACAAATCTGCTTCGAGGCTCGTATTCGCGTGTATTTACACGCGCAACTGTCGATCAAAAATGCTCGATCGGTTGCATTCATAAATTGCAAAAATGTTATATCATGCGAGAAACATATCACTGGAGAAAATAACTCTGAAAAGATTGCAGAAATATTTGCAGACTGTGAACAGTGGATTCGGATCTTACTTTAGTCACTGCGTGTTACATCTGCCAATAAATACATTCTTCCCGGGTAGATTTAAATATAAAAAACGTCAATACTTCTCGATCGAATTGAAAGTCCAATATCGAACATAAAAGCAAGCAATAAATAACGACAATTATAAATAGACCGGCAGATCTCCGTACATCCATCGCTCGCGAAGCGAAGAAGATCGTCGAAATGTGAAAATCATCGAGCAACAAAATTGTTTGCTCGTCAATAAAAATCAGCATTCTCAGTCTAATTACGAATGACCCGGAGCGGTTATTTTCTCCGCATTCCCCGAGCAGCAAGTATCGCAACCGATCAGGCATTTTCGAGCAGCGGCGTGCATGCATAACGTTACCAGCGCACAGGACGCCATTAGCGGAGATTTAGGCACCGAGTGAAATTTCACGGAGATTTATTCAACGGCGCGCAGGATTTTTCAGTGCCCCGGCATCCGTGCCGCATTGTGGTCGACTATGGTTGACTAATACCGCTACAGCGCGTTAACCTTCTGAAGGTAGAACGGAGGTGTGGCACACCCTCGTCTCCCCGTAAACACGAGCCACGGGATACAACAATGGTCTCCGGAGATGCAAGATTGCACGGAAAGGTGCAACGTTCACGTACAAAGGTCACCACGGTTGAATCGAGTAAACGAGGATAATGTCGCGGACCGGCTTTAACGGTGGAGTTTTATTATCTTGAGGAAGAAGGGACGCGTGTCACGTCATAATCGTGTTTGCACGTGTGACCAGCCGATCCGCAGGTCGCTCGCGCGAAAAAAAAAACGCAAATAAAAACGCAAATAAACGAGCGACGGTCTCGCGTCGCGGGTGGATCGTGTCGATTTTTCCGCGTATCCGAGTTAATTAAAAATATCTTGAACAATTAATAGAAAACACGCGAAGAACTTCGTCTCAGCACAGGAGATTCAGTTCGCGATTCGCACCGGGAACCGAGATATCTTCCAAGACAATCCATTAATCGTAGCTTAAGGATTAAACTCAAGGTACCGTTGTATTGTATGATAATCCCTTCCAGTTACTCTACACTGCGTTCTTAATTTAATGTTACTCCCTTTTGTTCATATTATACATAAAATATATATATATATATATAAATAAACAAATAAATATATTTATATTTTTTTCTGCTTACACTATCCACTAGTTGGTACGATCTTAATTGTTAGACAGTAGCGAGAAGCGACAACGGCGGATTCGACCGTCGCGTCGTTACGATGACGAACCCAAGGTTACCATGGTAACGAAATATATTCGCAAAGAGATACGTTCAACGAGATACTAAACGAAGAAATAAATAATACTCAACGGGTCTATAGAGAGCCCGAACGAAGCGGCGGCCCAAATTTTTTGCGCGCTGTGTAACTATAAGGAAATGATAGATTCTCCCCGACCCCTCGCCCTCCCCCTCCCCCCACGTCCTCTTCTGTTCTTCATTCGTCTACTACGTTACACTTATTTTCTCTTATTGTAATGACACGATGGATAATTAAAACGAATGTTTAAAAGAGTCTCAACTATGTATATAGGAAACGTATGTGTTGGCCTATCCAGTACAAAACCAGATCGTTATAATATTATAGATCACGGATTATTGTGTTATGTGAATAATTTACATTTTATGTTGTTAACATGTTTCTATACGTATACAAATACACAGATATATGTACGAATGCATGTAATGTTAACACGGTTCCGATTTCCCGCTGTTTCGTCCAACACCTCCCAACCCCCCCGCCCTCTCTGTCTGTCAACGTTTTGTTCTCTGTCACTCTTATTCTTACTTTCTGCGCTCTACACTCTCACTCTCTCACTCTCTCTCTCTCTCTCTCTCTTTCTCTCTACTCTAATCTTTTTAACTTGTTTGCTCTCGCCATGCAGCTGGAGAAGACTACTTGTAGAGGATCGTTTTTGTTTTGTACTTAAGCGCGCTCGTATGCGCCCGAACTATGTTTTGTACCACGTGCAGAATGGCAATAAAGTAGTTGACCAATTCCTTTTTTTAATAGCACGTTTTTTAATACCATTTTCCCTTGTCACCTTTCTTGTGAGCCAAAGATGGATAAGATTTTGAACCGAAAAGATACAGAGATTAACGTTTGGACGGCGGACATTTTTGATTAGTTATGGCAGCCGTGGCATGACGTCGATTTTTATTTATATATCTTTGAACAGATTTTATCGAAGTCAAAGTTAATCCTGTTATCGATGTCAATGCTCATATTTCGAAATTAAAAATGACTGGCAGAAAGTCAGTTTGTAAGTTTGGGACAAAATGAACCCGGCAACTGCTATTCGAGATTAGAATATATTATAGCAAGAAAGAATATTTTAAATAGGTCACACTAAATTTTTGCAACACAGTGATATTTGTTCTAATAATATGAAATAATCGGTTTCTTCTATTTATTGAAGATACATCCTGTAAAGAAAAATAAGAACGCACTATTTATTCTGATAAACGTTTCTATAAAAATTATTCATTTCAAAATTCATTGTGAACTAAAAATAAGCTTAGATCAAATATGTTAAAACAAAATTAAGTATTTCTAATATTATAACAAAATAACAAAATTAGTATATGAAGATAAAATACTTGCAAAACGTTTCTGAATTCGAGTTATAGATCTAACATAATGCACTTAATCATCATACATTCATCGAATTCAATTATTTTAAATATTTAGTACGATAAAATATTTCAGTTTTCTTCTTCAATTTTTTATCGCCAATTAGAGACTCGCACTGATCTTCTAAACGTTGCATGGGTTAAATAATTGTATTTGTATCAAATTTATGCTTGGATGAGCAACGTTTTCGGAATGGAATAGGAGAAAATGAACAAAATTGTATCAACCTGCAGCTCATAGTGCAGCAAAATGGAGTCCAGGTAAACGGAACGCAATTTCAAACTCGCTATCCACGTGTGGCATTTCATAAAATAATTTATTCACCAATATGAACAAGTAGATTGTATAGCAGATTGTGGATGACAATCATGAGCGCAAAACCAACATATACGTAGGACTTGCATTGGATCTGCATCGACACTTAGCTTGGTAAATGGTCATCCGCGAGCTCGCGCGTCGCGTGGACTAAATACATCAAACACTTTTACGTATTTTCGGTGTACGCTCGTTGTTTCTGGTCGTTCGCACGTTTCAAACGGAAAACGCTCCGATCGTTATTATCATAATTCCGTTGACACAGCTCCAGAAAAAATATGCACGATTCCCAAGTGGGGGACAATTTGCGATTAGAAAATCTCTTTATTCTTAACATCTCAAATAAACGTCACTTTCATTCCCTCTATAAACATCGTATGGATAAATATTTTCCGATGCAATGGTTACTGTTACAGAAAAGAAACGTATCGTCATGTAGCACTTTCGCGACTCGCGACTACGTCACGGCTGCGACAAGAACCATACGAAAGCTGCAGAATTGTGTAGAATGTAAATAAAAAGAATACGCTCGATCGGTGTTACAGTTTGGCCGACCACCGAGATCGGACCGTCGAGTGCAGGTGCAAGAGGTCGCGTGACCGAACGATGCTGGTTGTCAGACTTTCCGCCGTGTCATGCTGTTCGTTAACCGTATCGACCAGCAAAGAGATATATTCAATGAAAATTCTATCAACGTCGTAGATTTTTTCTCTATCTTGGTCCACTTACACCAGTACTTTCTACCGGGTCCCGGGGACTAGGTCAGCCAAACTATAGACGGTTTTCAAAGAAATTAAACGGTAGAAATCGACGGCGTATCATTAGGACAGTATTGTCGAAGCACGAATCTCGTCGGATAGTATCGTTATTCCGCATGGTGCTAGCATGGTTCCCGACGCAGGATCGACACATCGGTGCTGAGGAGCGCAACGTCATCAGTAAGTATCTATTAAAGCGTGTGCCTACTTTCACGTATCGACGGTGCGAAGAAAATAGGTTGCAACGTAAAACATTAAGGTACGTACCCAACGATATATTCTTATGCGTTATCAAAACGGCTATAGTGCAAAGAAGTTCAATAAAACAAGGAATTGATCGCCATCTTCTTGAGTAACATGACGGCCCAACACAAAAATGCAACACCGCCCGCGACGCTTTCTAAGCATGCGAAAAGAACGCGCGCGCGCGACCAAAACGAAATTCGCAAATTTCGATCGAGGAACGCGACGAGGTCGTCCAAATAATTACATATAAAAAGATAAATAAATCGAACGCAACAAAAAGATCGATTGTTTCGCGTCGAAAATCAGCTTCCGCAATCAGATTCGCGACTTTAGAAAGAGCACACTCTCTGGCGTGGTAGAAAGGAACGCACAGTTAAAGATCATTAATCGATCGGTGTCTTCGATTGAATTACACAATGATTTATGTCGCGTTCTCGCTGCTCCATCGATCCTCCAACGATCGAAGGCCGGATGTTCCTTGCGACCTCTTAAACGGTGGTACTTAGGTCCATTTTTCATCAATACATCTAGATATACAGAGTGAGTCAAAAACTGTGACGGAGACTGAAGGTAGGTAACTAAAAATGTAGAACGAACTGATTTGTATTTCAGTATTTGACAACAGTCAAATTGTCAAATTTAAGTTAGTCGTGTCGTCGATGTTAAGTTAATGAAACTTATCGAACTTAAATTACTCGAATTGTGAAATTTAAGTTGAACAAATTATAAAATTTCTATTGGTCAAATCGTCAAATTTAAGCAAGACCAGCTATGAAATCTAGAGTAATCAAATTATTCAAGTCAAATTTTCTCAAAACTAAACGAAGCTGTACAATGCAATCTGTATCCTTGGTGTAATCATTTTCCATGCACTCTGCATTCCCCCGTAACGCGTTCATCCTCTTATGTCAGGGTCCCGAGTTCCAATAAAACTAGACGGCAATTGTCAGCCGATAGAAGCCGAGAATTGGGATGAGGCGTTCGAAAAGCTCGGTAGAGAAAGGACCTAGCCATACCGTCGTCCAAGGGGTTCGTACACCATCCATTGTACGCGAGAATCGTTTAGCCCTGGTTATAGCAATGCGGTAGAAAAGTGATTACAGGTAGCATAGGGCGAAACACCTGGCGTCACGGATCGACGCGTCAGCATGTTACGCAGAGAAGAGGCGGGTGTCGATGTGGACTCGAGGGCCGGCTCTAAGAGAGAAGCTTGTCTTCGGGAATGGTTGGACTGGTCGCCGACGGTGCAGCGGACGCGCGTCTCGCCGCCTCGGTCTCTCGAAGTGCGTCATCGAAGCTCTGCATCGAAGTGGATCTTGAAGGCACAACTTTGGTCTGGAAATGACAAGTGATCTCTCAACGTAATGTCCCTCGGTTCGGTTGCTCGAGGGGGCCGACAGGTAATCCAAGCTACAGTATTTTCTTTAACCTTGCATTCCTCATCTGAGGTCTTCCTCGGTGTTCAACAAGTTTAACATGCTTGCTGCGAACGTTGCACATACACAGCTGTTCATAAGACAGCTGACAGCTAACAGATGCTGACGAATAATGTACTATATGCTGTAACGTTATAACTAGATCCTACGTAGATTTTTATAATATTTATGATACATGCACATTTTTCAAATACAATGAAATGTGCATATTAACAAAAACATTAATTGTACTATTATTCTATGATCATTACAAAGAATTTTCTAACTGATATAAGAAATTCAGATCTTTTAAAAGGAGTTCTTAAAAATAAAAATTTGTGCAACGATTCATAATCTTGTTATAAGAAAAACATTACAATTACAGTTCTAACAAAACGTGACTTTAATAAAGCAAATATTGGTAGATCAATAAAGTGAATGATCTGTAAGACATTATGCTAATAACCGTAAACATGTATAGAACCAGATACTTTTGAACAGTAGTGTATGTGACATTTGTGATACTAGTGTTAATAATCCCTTACAATGTTCCTTGATTTGTACAACATAATGGGTCATCCTTATCTCGTTGAAATCATTTCATCGACAATCACTTCACTAACACAGTAACATTGACACCGAACTTAGCCGACAATACTTACTCACCCACACGTTCAGATTACCTACGACCATTTCTTCGACAGTGTTCACTCATCGATCTTGACATTTAATACCTGAGATGATTATTATCTTTTATTGGAAAATTGACAATATGTGCGTACACATATAGATACACTTATATCTATACGTTACAAACAATTTCACTTTACTAAAATGTAAAAGTACTATTTTAGGAACCCATCTTCATCGACTTTGCATATATTGTTAACCGATCTTCGCAAGATCCTAGCCGCTGCTCGACGACGGTCAAAAAATAATTAACGTTTCATCTGGAAAGCGAAATAAAAATGCTGATCAGGATTACGTTTCAAAATTGTTTTATCCCACATGAATGTTTTCATGTTTTAGAAAGCATAAACACAAGATATTATCTACTTCAATCGCATCATCAGACGCTGGACAAATACACTATTAATGTAATATTAAAACACACGGTGAATAGAAATGGGTGCCCGAAACAACATTTTTATCATTAGTATTACTAATCGGTAGAGTGCGGATTTTATGCATTTATGGCAACATTTGTTATCATATATTATAATCGTTAGCATATCTTGTTACACTATTTTTAATTCATTACAAGTAATGTAGACAATTTTGTTCGATATAAAAATCCGCATGCTACTAATAACGAACAGTAATTAGCGTACATTGTAGAAGTTGGCCACACAGACATTAACACTGTCGATGAAACTCTGTGTCGGTGAGTAAATATTGTTACAACGATAAAGTACGGTAGAACCTCAATTATCCGATCCTCCAATATCAGAATTCTGTATTGTCCAAATTAGTTTCACATGCCGTCAGCTCAATTTGCGGCAACCCCTGTGTAAAACGATTTACCGAACGAAACATTAAAGCTGAAGCCTTCACGTTCCATTATCCGAACATTCACGTCCCCCTAATTAGCCCGGATAATCGAGGTTGCACTCGATGAAATCGTGTTGGCGAAGTGATCATCGGCGACGTAAAGACGGGTAAAATCACCTTCATGTTTTCATAAGCCGATCCGACGCGTTCCTCCAGCGAGCGGAAGCTGTCGGAGTTGCGCATCTGACCGAGCTTCATGGTCAATCCGCTCCCAAAGCCTCCTAAGATGCTGGTCGTTTTCTCAGCCGTGGTCTTGAAGACGGACTCCGTCTTCTGAAATCTGCATAACGAGGAAACGATAAATATTCATTTACCACGGGACAGCCAGTCCTATCCGAGCAGCGTCCGGTTGCCCGTGGTCGCTGATCGGCGAGCCCAGGACTCGATCATGAATGAAACCGATGGGATTCTCATGCACTTGCTCGCACACGCGTGTGCGTGTTAGTCTCCTTGTTCGGTCACTGTTAGATCCTCGTTAGAAGCGGATGTTTCTGCGATTAATTCGCGCAAGCGGCTGTCGGCGGATTGCGTTGTCGCGGCACGAGGTCGGTGTATCGGTTTACCAGCGGTAACGTAAGCGGCTCAACGATTCTTGCGTTTTTGCGGTGTGTTACTGAAGCGATCGCTGATCTAACGCAACGCGCGGCTGGATCTCTGCGATAGAAAATCTCACACGGCGAAGCAATGATACAACATTTTCTTTTAGAGATCGAGCGAAGCACGCTATGGGATTAGTCTGCAGCGTTTTCGGCTTAATCCTTCTGCAGTTCAGGCGCGAACACTTGGTAGAGTATCGAATAAAGTTCATTATACGTTGACAACGATAGTATAATTATGTTAACATCCGTAATGGGGCGATTCCTGAGGTCATTTCAAGTAACTTTTTCCTCAGCGAAAATGCAATCCGCGGCTTCGTTTACGAGTTATTAACGAAAAACTCTGACCAATGAGAGACGAGCTCGCCTGGCGCTAGGCGACCGAGTCAATCAGCGGAACTGGGTTTCGACGGCTCGTTGGCTCGGCCGCTTTGCGCCAGCTGAGCTCGCCTCTCATTGGTCAATGTTTTTCGTTAATAACTCGTAAACAAAGCCGCAGATTGCATTTTCGCTAAGGAAAAAGTTACTTGAAATGACCTCAGGAATCGCTTTGCAGTTTCTTCGAAACTGCAGCAACCAAGTTCCTTAAATGGAACAATGGGTTTAACTAGAACTCGGTAGAAAAACGAAGTAGTCATCCTAATTAATAGGCTATGAGAAGTTTATAAAAGACACATATTGTGAACTAAAAAAAATACATTTGATTAAGCATTCAAAATAATATTTATATTCATTTCTATTTATTCTTTCCATATTTTCCAAAAAGATTAAGTGTCTCTTTTACACTTTCAAGAAAAGGAAGTTTTTGTCCTATACTTGAGTCATTATTACGTTAATTACTCTGCTAATACCAGGAAAGAAAATCACTCACAAAGCGAAGAACGAAGCGAAGACAAACTTTTCATCCTATTTTAAGAATAAGCTGTTTGGTAACAGTTGTACCGTAAGACGACGAGCTCTACGTTTCTTTCAAGCTTCGTCAGTTAATTGGACTGCAGAAGGCTTAATGGCTACGGTCGCAGAAAAAATGTTGAATCCCAAGGAAAACACAACTGTTTGCGTACTTACAAAGTGTTCTCGGAGACTGCCTTGGTGAACTGACCGAGTTTCTCTCCGACGTTCTGATAACTGAATGAGAACCCAACCAAAAGTCAAAGAAAAGTGTTCTACATGTCTGGGGAGCAAAAGTAGCCGGAAATAAACGAAAAGAATACGGGAGATCGGCAACCGCCACCACACGGCAATGTTCAGAACGGAATCGGATCGATGATTGTGCAAAAGTGAATATGGTTGCATGCGTTCCGATGTACATGGAATGTGTCTCGATCAAATTATAGTCATCTTCCGCCGATCACACTGTCCGACAAACGTGACAAATATTATTCTGCGAGCTTCAGTATAAAATAATTCTCTACTATTTAAGACGTTGTACATATTTAGATTTCTCGGTGAACCATAAAATTGTTGGAATTACGGCGACGTGTCCAAAGAATGAAACCCTAAGCTGCCGTCTTTCTGCCAAGTTCGTAGATCCCTGAACACAATTCTAGCATTTTTTTAAAGTGCCATATAAGCGACTAATGAATGAACACTCGATAGAATCGATAAATTTTTACAAAGCAATTGTAGCAAATTGCAAAGCGTTTGTAGATGGATAATAGGATTACTGCATAAATTTTAATGTGGAAACGATGACGTGAACGTTACTATTTCATGCAATACCGGAAATGTTTATGTTGTAACTTAATCGTAATAATACAATGTTTTTACTCGAACTGAACGTCATCAACTGAACGAAATCAAAACAAACGATCGAAGCGACTCACGCACACACGACCATACAACATCGTTGTGTTCCAACAGTTCATTCATTGGACAAATCACCCTACAAAACTCTTTCATAGTCTCAATAACTTCAGACTTATGATTCTGATAAAGCAACACGCGTCGATCACGTTCAGCGTCCGATAGGTTTCGAATTACATTACAGTTTTTCAAGAACATATTGGTTAACGGACCACAAAATAGATATCGGACAATGTGATCAGGCTGTGACATAATTCGAATCTCAAATGGTAAAGGTGCAAATAATATTTTCTGTGCAAATGTCTACTTACAGTACAGAGTAACTGGGGACAGTTTCGAGCGTAACTAAGTGAACGTCTACGATATAATCGACTTTGAGCAAACTAAAGATCTTCGTGAAGGCAAAAGAAGCTTTTCTAGCCGATGCTCTAACCGCCCAATTATTCGCGCAATGCAATCATGACTTTCGCTTGGAGCCTCAGGCTTTTCCCGATGAGAGAAACTTTTACAATTTCGAAATCTAATGCGAAGCTCGTTTAATGTTCGCTTTGACGTGTGTAGGATTAGAAATTGTGTAACAAAGAATTTTGTTTTCCGTAATCGTATTTTTGTACAAACTTTCATGCTACTCTGCTTCGAAAACTTTATTTTATTAAGATAAAAATGAAACGAGTGTCGACAAATATTTGCAACGCTGCACGAAGCTACCAATTTTAATAAAATCGATTCAATTTTAATTTGAAATCCGTTTCATTGTTCACAAAATAACAACGAGCACTTAACGAGTTTCAACACCTGTATTTTTTCATTTCGTGCAATTAATTTTAGGGCTTCTGTGCAGAATAATTTGAAACGAGCTTCGAAAATAAAGTGCAATAATTTTACAGGGGTGCCGGAGACTCCGTTTTGGAGCAAGATGAGGTGAAAGATAGATATATAGATAGATAGAAAGAGAAAGAGAGAGAGAGAGAGAGAGAGAGAAGTGCGTGCTTTCAATGGCTGTGTAGAAACCTACACTTGGCTCTCCTTTACGTTTTTCAAGCCCTGGTTCATATCGTCCGTGATCTCTTTCCATACGCTGATGCCCAATTGCCTCTTCAGCTCTTGAGAGACCCGGATTTTGTTCGCCAGCACGTGTCTCAGTGTCTGTATCTCCTCTTCGACCTACGACACGTCAGTTCCTCAGGTTCTGATCCCCAGAAAGCCGCAGCTTAAACTTCCTTCATTACACTTCCATACGTCCCGCATTTAATTTCGTGTGTAAGGATCCATTACAAATGGCTTTCCGACCAATTAGGGGAATTACAAGATACATTTCGTACACTTCGTGTTACAGAAAATATAGTATTGCAACAATGAAGCATAGATATTATTATCAATCTTTTTTTAGACCGTCTCTCCTATCACTGAGACATAGGAGAAGAAGTAGATTTTGTATCACTTTTTATAGATTTTTTATGGAATATGATCGACTTTCGAATTCAAATCATACACGGATCTTTGTGTAAAATATAAATTGTCTGCACCAATTGGTGTCAATTAAATTCTTTCTTTAATAATTTTAACAAGTATAACCTTGACATTTATTAAAAAATTATTCAGAAAATTGAAACAGAAAATATGTAAGTCCTAAAAAACAATTTTTATGAAACCTGTCAGTTTCGTGTTTGCAGAGATCTTCAGGAACATACCTTGAAAATTAATTCAGAGAATTGGAACAGAAAATATGTAAATTTAAAAAAAAAACACCATTTTTCTAAATACTATCGCAGTTTCTCGTTTGTAAAATCCTTCGGGAAGAACTGTACTCTTCAAGCACTCGAAGAAAGTTTCACGTACAAAGCTAACACTGGCCTTAAAAGTTTTAAACGCGAGTCACCAGATTGCTTCTGGATCCCACGGAATTCCGACAATTAATTACTCGAATAAATCTCAGTTTTCTACAGTTAGGAGCGCGATTTACGAACTTGAAGAGCTCGCAGATCCTCGCGGCGAATCCTATTCGACCGTTCCAGTCGACAAAGATTTAATCTGAAAAGATGGAGTTACATACTCTGGCGAGTTCCGCGCTCCATTCTGCTTTCTGGCGATCCTGCTCCTCCAAGGAGAGTCCTTGCAACTCGTTCACAACGGTGTCCGAGGATGGCGAGATGAAGCCTGACGAGTGCATCGTGGCATCTTCTCCTGTAAGAAACCAATCGAGTCAGAAAACTGATTAAACAAATCGTTCGATCAAAATCTGCATGGTAAAATCATTGACATTTTGAACTGTGTTTAAACATTAATGTATCTTAAACATTTAAACATCGACCTTATACTGCAAAATAAAATTCAATTTACCAATATAATGATGCACAATATTAATTACTGAAGAATTTAAAGTCAGAATTAGTTTAGGAGGTATAAATATCGTTTTTTGAGGTTGTTGCAGTTTCGGCGATTATATTTTCCCAGAAAGTCTATAACTCGTGCCAATTAGGGAAACGCATGATTTCGTGCAATCGACGATTCTATAAGATGTGTATCGGAACAAAAATTTGAAACGGTTCAGCGAAAAGTTGATCGATAAACGAAGCCCGTCACTATCGTTGGTCTCAGCTCATTACCGCAATGTTGCCAAAATGATCGACGCAATCGAAAAATTTGTCGATTTACCATTCGCATATAGCAAAAGGATTACGTAAGCAGGTTCTTTCGATCGGACAGGGACAGATCATTGTCGCCTTATCGATCGTGTTACACTTGGCTCCGACGAGAAACTCGAATTACGAGAACCGGTATCGATTTTTTTCTGCTGGCGAGTCTTTTTTTCTTGTGCGAAGGACCCGTGAAACTCGCGATACCAAAAATAGCATCGCGTCATGCTGAAGGTAATTAACTTCGAAATGATACCGGTCTCGTTTCGATGATCGTAAACTGTAACGACACTTATTATTCATTTACAGGACATATTAAATTCTCGATAGGAAAAATAAATCCTCATTAAGTCCGTGTTCAATAAACAATCGAGTATTGATAAATTCTACTCTTTATATTGTACATATTTTTATACTTTTGATATTTTTAGCAAAATAAAACATTTCTATATGAACTGCAAGAAATGAAATGAAATGAAATTTGTTCAACAAACAATTTTAACAAGTCGAAAATAATGTAACAATACATTGCTATACTAATTTTTCAAAAAAGCATTACTAAATTCACGTTACTAAATTTCTCTGTATTCAATAAATCGTTAAAAAATAGAAGTCTTCTATAAGTAAACAAATGCAATTTCATATGTATCAAATAAATACAATCGTACCAAATGCAAATACAATAGGCTGAAACAAATGTCTTCATTTTGGATTTAAAATAGCCTCGACTTCAAAGGGTTAACATTCGTATCTTGTACGCATCATGCCGCAAATTTCGCATAAGTTACAATCAAATAAATGAACTATCTGGATCATTAAATAAAACGTCTTTTACCTTAAATAATTTTTGTATCCTACGCATTATCCGGTATTTGAATCGGCGAGAAAATCTAATTAATTTAGCGCGGATCAAGGAAGCAAGCGAATATTTTGGTCGGTGTTTGAAACGTTTCCTGTTTCTGTGAACGAACGCAATTTTCTACTCGCACAAAATCAAGATCCACAGAAGAAATGCTTATTCTTAATCGAATTCTAAGGAACGACGTAAAGTATCTCCGCATTCTTTTCGCGCAAAAAAAACGTTCGCGCGAAGTGAAAGCGAGGGAGCACGTCGAACTTCGCAGTAAAAGAGCAACATAATCTCTGGTTCGAAAAGTATAGATCTTTGGAATATGCAGACGGACACCTGTCTGCTGGTTTACTTATTTTACGGTCGACGGATGCGAGCAGTGGTTTAAATTATTTAAAGAAAAGAACGATACGCGGATAACTGCTTCCGCTCTTCACCCTCGAACGCGATCAAGAACATTGCTCGCCAGTTCTCTGATTGCCGCCTGAATGTAAATATGGCCACACGTATCCTGGATATCATCAATTTACAGGTAGCGGAAACTTTCGTGCGTGTTCAGTGAACCTGCTCGATTCGATTAAAAGAAGTGCGAAGGAATTAGAACATGATAGCGAACGCTAACGATCACTGATCAGCCACTGATCGTTCCACGAGTATTACAGATTCCTTGATGCTAGGCTAGCTAGCACAGTTGGACGTTGTTCGAACAAAATCTTATTCGAGAAAACTGGTGTCTAATAAATTCTTTGAACAATATTTTATTCGAGAAATATTTCGAATAATGACGAATTCTATAGCTATCAATGACAAAAATTAACACGTTTTCATCTTATTATTGACCACCGTTTTCAGCGAGTTCGATTAACCTGTATTATCGAGGAATTGTTACTGTTCTTGAATTTTTACAATTAGAATTTTCTATCAGAAAATCGGAAGAGAGTCTCCGATATATTTCGACATATGAATATATATTTTCCTCATGATGGAATTGCTTAAGCTTCAGATAGCGGACCACTTTTACAGCTGCATAATTGACGACGTTTAATGACCAGACCGTGGATTTTATGCACTTCTAGGAAAAATGACTAAGTGAAATATAAAACAGTGGATGCATTAGGAGAATCTTGAAGTACCGTTACGTTATTTTCAACCTGCAGAAATCATTAGAATGTGAAATAAGCTTTTATGTAATTCCTGTTTCTTACAATATCTTTAGAATACCAATAGAAACTTTTTATTTCGCATAAATTTTATTTATGACCATTTGAAGCTTCGTTCTCTAATTTGTCGAAACGTATGCTTGAAAATTCTTATTGTTGAGTTCTTAGTTTTTCTATTGCTTCCAGTGTAACAGCAATTTATTTCACGTAATTGCCGCAAAGCGGTCGAATTTCATTAGGATTTGTGCGATTCGAGAAAATTCAATAAATAATCATTGTCATTAGCTTGGCATCTGCAGTTTTGATTGGAAGGACTATGTTGCTCTGAACTTGTGGGATTTCTTGAGGATTATTTAACAATCAACGCGTTAATTGGAGCACAGAAAGAACAACGGCTAGGAACTGGTAGGAAATTTATTTTGCTCAAGTATACTTTTGACTTCAATTTACCCTTAATTAGAGTCCCGAATTAAGTATTCGATTTAACCAGTTAAGTGTTTTTGACGAGTACACTTGTCACGAAGAAATGGCGATATTTTGTATTATGATGAGTATACTCGACGAGCATCAAATTTTGTTGTTCAAATTACAATTTTAAAATATGTAAATCTATATTGTAAATTTTAAGACGTTTGAATATTTCTCGAGGTCAAGATGAAATAAACCGAACAAATAAAAAAATATAAATAACTATTACGAAAAAACTGTATATAGTATCTAGGTTACGTAGTGTACTCGTCATCGTTTATTTACACACTCTTCGAAGAGGCCACAACAGCTAACTGGTTAATTAGCTTGTCGAATTAAGCATTCAATTTGGTATCTCTCCCGAAATTATTGATTCCTCTGCGACCTCAAATCTCAACAACTGTGTAACAATTTGAAGACTCATTTTAAACGTGATTTTTGAGTAACAAGCAATTCGAAAATTGTGCGACTGAATTGCTTCGCTTGATACTTCCTCTATGGAGAAAACCGTGACGCACAGTTGTAGCAACGACATCGTGAAACGCTGATACACTTCTCGCTTTCATATTTTGCAATGGCGTTCCACTTATAATTGCCAGCGTGCCGACTTCTGTGCATGCGAGTAATTGCCCGGCAATGCGATAATGAACGAGATATCGAATTCAATTTCGACATTGGCTTTCGATATATCGAACATTTTGGCTTCCCACATTTCAATAAAATAAGATGACGTCATACTCTGGTGATTCCAGTGTTAAAAGAGTAGATACACCGCGATACCTTGGAAAAGTTATTAAAAGTAAAATGTTTAATGAGGATCTCGTGATCATTACGCGTCGTAAATATCATAATTATCGGATACGTACATTAACGAATGCTAATATTTACAGAAAAACTTTATAGTACTGGTGGGTAGAAAGTGATTTTATTCACGAGGCTACAAATATAGTCTAAGTTAACTAAAAAAATTGACTGCTAGCGTTCTGGAACTTAGATTATGGAAACAGTTGCTATTATTATCGGCTAATTCGTTTACTTGTCATCATTCAAATGTAATTATTGTACTGAGATTTGTGCAAGTCAACGTTACGTATCAGTTTCATTATGTAAATCTGGCTGCGCATATCGGTACGAGGCAAAGGCTATAAACATTACTTTATTACGGGACTCCGTGTAGTTTTAGTACATGAAAATTGTTAAACGAAACACAAGACTTAACTGAATTTATGTGAAAACATATTGTTTGAAACAATTCAAATTCCATGTAATATATTCTTCGTAGTACTAGAAGAAAAAACTATATAGTCTATGTTGCATGGAACATTCTTTATTTTTGTTTGTTTCTAACAACAAGATAAAATATAATAGAAATGTAACGTCTAAAATGTTTATAATATTGCAGCAGAAATTTACGAAATAAATACAATTTTCATAATACTCGCAATCTGTACAAAATAGTAAAAGTCTTCAAACAAAAGTTACTTCTTTTGTCGAAATCTATTTAAAAAAAAAAAAGTAAAAAATGCCAAGTATGCCAAAAGCATACTACATGATAGATTTGGACAAAAAAAGTAACTTTTGTTCGACGACCTTTCTTCCATCTTGTACAGTTTGCGAATTGTAGCAATAACATAAAAAAATAACCGAACATCCACCCCTTAAATTGAATTTACGCAAGAAAAAAAATGCGCCATACATGTCTACGTACGCTACACATATTCTCAAAGTTTCGAAACGTTTTGAATGTCTAGGTTGAGGATCATCCCTTGTAAGCCTTATTGGATAAAACAATGACTATTTGACTGAACAATCTGACGAAGAAGCTTCAGATCATCCGCAAACGGTAGGAAAAAGCTAAACATCGTCGACTATTATCGTGCACCTTTTACCAATTCGAGGAACTTCTTGTAATTCTGGCTGTTGCTGATCTTTGCGAGGTACGGCTTCGAGAAGTCCTGGAAGATCACTCGGACCGACTTTCGCTTCTTCTTCTTATTCCTGCGGTCGGTGGCGCCGTCCTCAGTGTCCTCGGACAGGAACTGGGTCTCGACGGACAAATTGCCGTCGTCGACCACGATTTCATCTATCTCGCCGTTCGAATCGCGCCAGCAATGCACGACGATCTCGTCAGCGTCGCTGAGCTCGTTAACATCGTCGAAGCTGGGAGTCGCCGTCAGTTTCGAGTAATAGGCGTCCTCCTCGTACTCCAGCGACTCGAACTCGTGCTCGTACTCGCTGTGGCAATCGTCCTCGCCGTGATCCTCGCACGGTCTCGATCTTGGACCCTGTCTAAGGCTGACACGATCGCTGGCTTTGCCCTTCTCCTGTTTAACGTCCGGCATGTTTGTTCCCATGAAACCGGACCAGATGTCCTCTACCCAATCCGTGGACTCAAAGTGCAGGAAACTTAGTCACGAATGTTCTCGGTTGGGAAAGTGGAAGTCCCATCTGAATCCCCTAACCGAACTGCTGTTTGAATTCCGGCTATCTTATCGAGCACTTTGTGTGCGTGCGTGCGCGCGTGTGTGTGTGTTCAAGTGTTCTCTTCGCTTCGCTACCACGTGCAATCGAAGTCAGCGTTATGCAAAGATCAGAAGATACGGATCTCATCGATCGTTGGACGTTGTTGCCTCTGCTGTCGAAGTGTTGTCAGCGAAAGGATTCTATCCTATTAACAGTCTTCTCATCTCTTCGTACTACTTCGTACACACCACTTTATTGACCTTATTGCCGCCAGACACTGTGTCTAGAGCAACGAAAGTCCTGCAGTCTCTTGTCACAGTCCGATGCCCACTTCTACTTCGAAGACACTCTTCGGGCCGATCTTCGCCTTACATTCACCGGTTGCTGCACTCCACTTTGCGAGCCCCGTAGGAAAAAGTTCCGCCGAGAGAACGGTTCGCCGTAACCGTACAGAGAGCGTAACAGCTAACTAGCGCGAACTCGGCCCCTAGATCACTGCCGATCCAGCGAGGCTGTGCTCGAGAGGTCGCCGCGGATTTCACCGCTCGGATCGTTCGCTTCACTTTTACCCGAGGCAGATTTTTCGGTTTCATTGGAGGATCGGGCCCGGCTCCATGGAGAAACTGTCCGGCCAAGGTGAGGTCGCGAATTCACGATCACTCGCGAACGACCACGTGCACCGATCACCGCGTGCAGACGACGATCACAGCTGGCATGATCGCTCTTCGCTTTCCCGACGCTAGATCACGGGTTTACGATCTTCGCCGAGCGCGACGCCAGCGTCGGCCCGCCACGTATCCAAGGAGGAAAGAAATCGAGACCGGTCGCCCGTTCCCTCTACCCGACGAAGGTGAAAGGGGAAGGGGCCTCAGGCCCACTCACTGTCGAGCACCTTCTTTGTCTCGGGCCGCGCCGATACCACCGAATCCGCGTGAAATCTCACGGTGATTTTTCTCTAGCGACATTTTCGTCCTCCCTTGCCTCGTTCGACGATCCATCTCGGTCTCTTAGCGAGATATTTCCATCGGAGTTCATTCATTGCGATACTATCACTTGTAATCCGCAAGGAAACCAATAAAGTTCGATATTGCGAAACTACGCGAGCTTCTATTATTGGATTCTTGTGTATAGTCTCGTTTAGGTTATGATATTGTTCTTTGTTTTCTCGGAGAAATTTGTGACAGACGGATTTGTGTGATTTCGTGGTGTCTGTATCTGTTCGATAGGCTCTGTTCGAAATCTCGATCGCGGAGCTGCTTCAATATTGTAAAGTACACATTTTAACATTTTCAAGAGCCACTACATCGCAAAGTACTCGACCTTGGGCTCCGATAAACAGATTTCGCACAGGATCGATGCCATACTCGCGGTTTCACCAACGCGCAAAGTGTAGTCCTTGAAAAGCAAATGCTTTTGACGATTTCGTGGTTGCCATAAGTAGCTTTTTAACCAGACAACTGTTTTTCACAAGAACAAAATAATATCCATAACGATGTCACCAACACAATTATATCGTAACAGAAACAGGTAATTGATTAAGAAAGATATATACAGATAATCGGCAATTGTAAGATCGAGCCACGTGGCTCGAGTAGTATCTCCTCTTCCCAAATTGTTTATTTTTATTTACAAATTGAGAGGCAATTGGAGAGAATATTTACCGTACTTTGATATTCTTTATTAAATTATAGATTTTATAAAACTATTGTATTTAAACAAAATATGAAGAAAATCAAGCATGTACAGTACAATTACATTAACTAACACACTTTTCAAAGAGATTGCAACAGCTGACTGGTTAAGTAATCCGCGAAATTCAAGAAAACCATTTTTCTTTTATCAGATGCTTTGCTAAGTTGTTCTATGGTTAGCAAATGAATGGCACAGCTGTTTTATTGAATAAACATAATAAAATAAAAATAACGTAGAAAATATTTCATTTGGCCACGATCGAATTCCTAACGAATCTTGTCGAGCAACATGTGTGCGAACCCGTGACTGTCGTGGTCTAGCCACATAAAGGGCTCTAGTTCCACTAAAATTCTACCACATCAATTTTCTGTTACGTATCTCTAAACCTACATCTACGAGATCGGCCCCCGTTATTGGACCTAAAACGCAAACGGCTTGATACAAACGATTTGAGCCGACTGCTGGAAAATTAGCATTTAAATTGCGCGTCGGTGAGGTTAAAGAAAATTGGTCCTGGATGATTTTTCGGGTGTGCTTTGCATACCGTTGTGCTCGCTTTCGCATGCAGAATCGACCGGTTAGCCCGGCCGTTGTCGAGCAGTTCGCGTATCCACGAAAAACCGTGATTTACCGTCGCGCTCTTCATTTCTTTCGGGCCGGAGTCGCGTGCAACGGGGAAACAAAAGTCGCGCAGTGATATTGTGCGTCGGTAGTTCACCGATAACGACTTCCCGTCTTTCCTAGCGTGTCACGCAACATTGCATAACCTCGACAGAAATTCGTCCGGTAATTGGAAGGCGAAACGAGAATCATGCCTGGCATCCGACTATTAATACGTCGTCCTTTGATTGCGCCCGCGCGATAACATGGCCGAGCCCCTAATTTCACCGTCGACGCTTCGACGCTTCCGACGGCTCTTCGTCGAAACGAAGATTTATCGACACTTTTCAGTACAATTAAAACAGACCGAATATCGCGTCCGACTTTCGATTTTCGCGAAGATTTTCCATCTTTATGGGAAATAAAAATCGTTTGCAGCGATCAACCCCCTTGCTGTGCCATTTTCTTCGGAATTATAGCGATTCGAAGCTACTCGATTTTAATCGTTACTTAAAAGGAAAAGAAAATAGATTTCATGTATTTGTTTAGCATAAATAAAATTATGCGAGAATAATCGAACAATGGTTATGATTGTACCAAGTATAATCTACTACTATAATAATATATACTACTATACTAGAATCATAACTATTATGATACTAACCTATAATCATAATTAAAATCTATGATCTGTGTCTAGACAACTGTTTCATTATTCGAAGGTTAATCAAAATCGTCACTGTTCCTCGAATGACATGATATTATACATAGATTGAGGACAGTGTCGCCAGTGATGAGGAATAGTGTATAGTGCGATACGGTTAATCGGAAGCGATAATAAAGGCTGCATTACGATATCGCTGCACATCGTGAACCGAACTTTGATGGAACAGAACCTTGCGTAGAACCGGTTCATCGGCTTTCGGTTCGATGCAGTTCTAAATACGGGCCTCTGTCCGGGTAACTGGAACATCAAGGTTAACAGCTAGTTGTCGTAATAATCGACCAACCGAGTAGCCAATCGTTAAGAAACGTGGGAGTTTAAAATTCCGGTATTAATTCGTGATCGTTTCGCGTTATCTGCGCCAATTTATGCATCGGTCTTTCCGTTCTCCCGAACGCGATCTCTAAACGAAGCAAACAAGGTTCTGATCGATTTTCAGTCGATCCGTTCTACAACAGTATAGCCTAAAAGATATCTATTTTTATAGCATTTTGTAGCATGCATTTAATAGCGTTGTAGAACATATAATAGAATATAAATTATAAGATCTATTTATAAATAGGTAATATATACGTTTGTCAGAAGGAAATTATAAACTATTCTGTACGAGATAGAACGACCAAAATTATGTTCCGTACTTCAATTTTATTTGATTAAAAATAATGCGCTGTTAGATTCAAGCAATTAGATTGAAACACGAAACGGAAGAAGCACAGAAAGAAGAATTATTCTCTTTTCCGCTTCACGTGATCTTGAATCTTTCGAATTCGTTTCCCTGGCCGACGCTATTTTCAGAATCTAATAAATCTAAGTCGACGTCGGAGCTTCGTATGCTTTTTATTGCCAATAAATTAGCGCGAAATAATCAAACATCATACTGGATAAATAATAACATACTTAATAAATCGTTCTGCATTTCTTTCGATATATTCACAGAACTTTCACAAAATATTTTTAGTTTACAAATACGGCCACTGAATACATTTTCTCTTCTTAAACGTGCATGAAAACATAATCTGTCACGTTTTGTCTAAAATGTGCTTATATTATTATTATTCGGATTAATTGTATCAATGTTGAATATTAGACAAAGTGAAGTAATATTTATACCACAAGAAACCACAAAAACATTACTAACAAGAACTAGTGTTAGATCATCTCGAACGCGAACGTGACATGCGACGTTTTTCCTCGCAACCGTAGATTTATCTCTATCATTAGGGGCCCTTTAAAACGAGAATTATGTGCTTGGACGAAGATGAAGGAAAGATGATTGTTTGAATAAAACTCTTTAAACTTTTCGTTAATTCAAACGTTACCATAAATTCTAAAAGCTGTATTAATCCGATCAATAACCAATTAAATAAGCAGCGGTAATAAATTCTGAAATCATTACACTGTAATCATTTGCCTTCGTTTATGATATAATGCCGAAAGTATTTGAATATAAACAAAAATGAACGTACCACGGCAAAGAAAAGTCAAACGTAAATTGACCACTTAAAATAATCTGCTCTACGGTTCGCGGCTCGTTAAAAGAACCTTTTGGAACAATTGTCGCGGAAAAATTCGAAGTATTCGGAGATCGCATGATTTCGACACAGCCCAAGAGCCTAGATTTTTTTCAAGTTCTTTGGAACACGCGATGCTGAAGTCGCAAGGCGACTCTAGCCGAACAAGTTCGAGCAAAGATCGATAAAACTGCTGTGGCAACTACAGTTAACACCTGCCTGTTGAAACTATCTTGCCAGTAACTTTAGAGTACTATCGTTTCGCTGTATTCAGCTCTTGCACAACTGTGAGCGAACGTTTTGAAAAAATAATGAAAGAATAGCCGAGGTCGAAAACATTATTGCGACCTGTATTCGATATGAAATTTCCGATCTCCGAGGGTCGTCGTAGAACTGTTTTTGTTGCGAATTCGAATAAAGCACTTGACTGCATAGCAGCGAATATTGCACCGTTGTTGCATCCAGCTGGAATTAGTGTTTCACGGTCTAACGATGGCAAACACATTTGCTCATCCAACCGAGACAGATTTCAAATTCTGCTATCTCTGAATCAGAAATTCGAGGCAGAGTTTTTAGGAGCTGATTTTTAGCAACCGACTCAATTATTCTACGTGACTCGCGAAAATTCTGCACAGAGCTGTTACAATTTCTTTGGTTTTGTTTTGAAACCATCGAAGCAATAGAAAGTACGAACAATAGAGTAGAAATCCATTTATGTGAACCTGCTGGAGGACAATTTGATTCGCATAATCAGCTGGTTTAATCATATAGGAGCTCACCTGTCTCGCACTATGGAAGTTCAAAACACAAGACTTAGTCGACCTGTATTAATTTTTTAGACATATGCAATTTTACTTGTGCAAATAGCGAACACAGATTACATAAACAGATCAATAAAACTTGTTTATGAACCGAATGTTAAATATAAGATCGTGTTCTGTACTCAAGAGTATCGGAAGAAATAAAAACATTAAAAATTATTGTCCACGTGGTAGATTGAACGTAACTATTTGATGTTGTTCCAGTGGGGAATCGATTCTGCTTAGCCTGCAGCAGGAGTCATTCTAAAGTTAATGATTCGCACAACAAAATCTCGTTCATTTTAACGCAAAGTAGCGATTATTTCTGACAATGATTCGACACAGCTCGTGACGCAAACGATTGCTAAGGAATGTAGATTATAAACTTGCGAATGTTGACTTTC